ACGTGCTGCATATTGCGGAGGCGTTGTCTGTCCTTGATCAACGCTGACTCGCGCTGCCTGTGTTTGATGCAAGGCTGTGACGCGCTGCATATTGAGGGGGCATTGTCTGTCTGGTCAACACCCAGCGGAGCTGAGAGTCTCCGTAGATTCCGGGCATTCAGTGGTTGCTTTCAGGAAGCTTCCTGATAATAATAAAGAATCATTCAGCTGTAACACCTTTTCGGTACCTAGCTGCCATGCCACCCAAAAGAAGCGCGAGAGCTGGGATACTGCCAGGCTGCCCAAGCTTAGACAGAGGAAGTCGAGAGGCAGAGTTCGAGTTTGAACCACGGACCATCCGGTCAGTAAATTCGCGCTTTAACCACTGCGCCATCTCGCCTCCAGACATATCTATGTGGGTAGAGAGGAACGTAGTCCTTGACGTCTTGATTTGAATTCTGGGTGTGCCGCATATCGGGTTAGATTATTCAGCACACTTCGGAGTTCTTTCAACTCATCAACCAACAGAACGTTATCACCGGCTATTCAGGTTTGGAATCCTGACTGAGCGCCAGAGTATCTCTCCTTTGCCTGCTCGAGTGACCAATCGGCTGCAAAGTTAGAAAACACTGGTAGAAGTGAGGAACCAGACTCAATGAGAAACTCTGGTATTCTTGCCATATGCTCGGGCCCAAGCCTTCGCCAATCAGTAATAGGCCCTAATGATGTTTACCAGCTTCGCAGGGACACCCAGCCAAGAGGGTTGCCCAAAATATTTCCTTAATAATCGAATAAAATAACTCGAAAGTCGACGTAGCATGCTGTGGTAGTCTGCGTGAATCTGAAATGGAATGGAAAATCTAGATCCAAAACAGCGTATTGGACCAAGGTGTTATAATGTAACGTTTCGTTTGCCATGAATTCACAGGTCTCAAAAGATATCCCGTCTTATCCGGGGGCCTAACGATCGCGGTGATTCACTGGGTTCTTTGGAATACGCTTTATATGGCAGATTGAAATGGTCTCGAAGTCCACGGTTTTGTTTGATTTATGGTTTAACAGCCCTTCAAGTAATCCGTTCATCCTTTCGTTGTTGTTGAGGAATTCATCGTTTGCCTAACGTAGCAAATGTTGTTGGGGCTGAAGCCCGCATATGAGACGAGGAATTTTGCCGAAATCACCAATGCTCGGGGTGGACTGCCTGCCTGGTGCAACTTCCGACTAGTATGAGGTGTAATCTTTTCTAATTGACTGAATGATCCGTCGTTAGAGCGTGCGAAAATCAGTCGATCTGTTGATCATGGTTGCCGCCGGCGACATGAGTGAGGAAACTGTACTCAGACATCCAGTGCTTGCGATGTCATCGCACACAAAAAATCGTTCAGCTGTAACACCCTTCTGGTGCCTACTTACCATGCCACCCGAAGGAAACACGAGGGCTGGGATACTGCCAGGTTGCCCAAGCCCAGACAGGGGAATTCGAGAGGCAGAGGTCGGGCTCGAAGCTCGGACCTTTCGGTCAGTAAATTCGCGCTCAAACCACTTGATCCATTTCGCCCCCTTCTTCACACACAGCTTAGCTTGTCTACAGCAGCTTTTTATATGGAGGTTTTTTGGGCTACCCATTGGTCGTTTGCCTGAACCATCCGGTCATCTGAAACTTGTTAGCGTCCAGTCGGGCGGTTATTTCATCGGAAAGTTTCGGCTGGTTCTCTAGGCAGCTGAATTAAGCTTTGTAGGACACTTTGACGAACCTTGAGTTGGAGCTTACTCTTGGAGGTTGTACAAGAATCTTGATAACGATGGTCTGATAAAAGGAGACGAATTTTTTTACGGTGCTGATCCAATCGAAATCTGCCAAAGTGTATGGTATGTTTTATTGTCTCCTCCACAAACTTGAGCGTTCTGGCCACCCGTTACTATCAATAAGTCTCCTCCTGAAGTCTTGTTGATCGTTCGTTGCTGTTAGTCATAGTACTTGTCTCTTGCGGCCGGGTCCTATCCAGACACGGAGATGTAAACAGCTGCTACAGTCCAGTTCAAGAGGGGATCTGTGATATACTCCCATAATCCTTGGGGACAATAGACTCCAAAAAGCCACTTGTGGGGCTCGCAACATCATGGGTGCCCGAGCTGTCCGCTATCCCTTGTGATACAGCCAGCAAGGAACCTTGACTTCCCAGGCGGAAAGAAACATAAATAGAAAAGACGGTTAGCGACGTCTGTACTACCGTTAGTCTCACCCGCCCAGTCCTCCGGAGATGATTTGTGTTCTCACCGTCGTTAGTTTAGAAGCGTGGTTTAGTTTGACCCCGTAAACAGACAACCAATCGACCGTCAATCAGGTCTTAGTGCCTAACGTCTGCCTTCGCCCTTTGACTTTGGTGACGAAATCTCCGCACGAGAAAGCAGTGATGTTACTTTCTCAGTGGATCACATGGAAGCACTTCAGCGGGGTGCAAATGACGGTACTCCTCGTTTCAGAAAATACCTACTCCGACCATCCTAAGGCGTAAGGAGGTAATTCTGACGGCAGCCGTTTTACGTTTATCATTTTTTCATGGCATAAGCACCCTGGCTTGAATGTCACGAAATTCGAAAATAGAATAACAGGCCCAGCATGTTTGTAGCAGAACACAAAATGTGAAATTCATTCTCCACTACTGTCAGATGAACAGTAGTTAAACCCTGGCAAAAATAATCATCGGGACTCGCAAGACCTATCCAATGGAGGAAATGGTGAAAAATTCACGGTCAAATTTGTTCTAAAGGCCTTCGGTACAACTGTAAGTATTTAGGCGGTGGAAGATACCCATGTAAATCGTTAGATTAAACGGCAAAGCGAACAAAGGTTGATTTCTGTGGTTGTCATCAGGTCAGCAAACGTAATAGAATAGTCGACGGTTTGTTAAGCTTCGCCTGTACAGGGATTGGAAGACTGAGGTATAGGCCAGTGAAGCATCAATGTCAACACTGATGTTCTGCCTCTGATGCTGATAATAAGCCGTCTGTGAACACACTGGTTGTTGGCGCATCACTGTTGCAACAAGTCGATCCGGAAATCCACTCTGATACAACATATTTAATCTACTTCCTAATTGTCTTTTACCCCTATCGTCTGGGCCGACTATTTTAGACAGCAGAATAACTTTTCCTGATTTGAAGATAAAAGTTTGCTGCAATCGATCTACACCAGAGACGTTTTTCGCATATGGCCACTCTTAATGATGCGTTGTGTCGTATGACATCCGAAACGGAAACTTGCCCGTAAGCATCCCCATTGGACATGAATTTCTTGTTTGATGTGACATGTTGGAAAAGTTCCTTAAAATCATACAAAGCTATTCTTAACTGGGTATGCTCTCACAAAGGTTGTTGACTGTCTAACCACCGCACATTTATAAAAGGAGGCTTGACTTCAAAGGTACATATCAGTTTGCCCTTTGAGTTCACATACTTTATGCACTCACAGAGGCCGTTTCTGCACAAACTGCGGCTTACGGGTTATCATCCACCCAGTAGCCGGTGTTCACTTACGTGATGTGGTGAATTATGAATTCCAATTACTGGCTTTATTGAATGATTTACCCTGTGAATTTCGGCAAGCCGATAACGAAGAGGCATGTTGCGACCCAATGTGCTTAATTCTTATAAATGTCCTTTGTGAGACCGTCCTGGCGCTTCCTCCATTTATGCTTTGTCCGTTTGTTTGGTGGGATTAATAAACCTCAGTGTACCCGACGGGATTTGTGACGTCTTTTCTATATAGTTCGTCTTATCACAGCTGTTGTAACATCGAGTTATTACTGCATCATTTTTGGGCTCGTAATCCTTTGGTTCTAAGTGCTTGTTAGGATATCCCGTTGGCAATTTGGTAGACCACAACTGGTGGTCTGTCCTTGCAAAGTGACGAACTTTCACGTCCACTTACCAGTACCGGTTACCTTTCAATTTAGATTTCTTCTCGTAAGTGTAGCCAAACTGTGTTGCAAAGCCGAGAAGCACTGTGTGGCTGTTTTATTCCCATTGGGAATCACCAGCTGAGTGCATCCCACGGAACTCCGGGGAGCTTTTAACCCGCGACTTCCAAGTTAGTAGTTGGACAACCTTTCGGCAACTTGCGGCTGATCACTAATGTGATTAGCTCGCACATAGACAGGACGTAGCGCCACCCATTCTTCAACTGAGTAATCCGTATCACGTGGTCACTTATTGATTGGTTCTTCCAGTGACGACTTCTCAAATAGATGGCTTGCTCCTCATGTTAATTATCCTTCCTTCTGAGCTACCTATATACTTGATAGTGTGAGGAGAATTCGGTTCACTGTTGCATTACTTATTCTACCGTCTGCTAACGAGCTAATGTCATATCGGCGCCGCGATTGACGTCTAAGTAATGCCAAAGGGAATTTTCTGGTCCCCTTGCTCAGTTAGTTGACAATACTACCATCATCAGCCATACAACCACTCAGATAAGCATATTTAGAAACTGATTTAAATGTATTGCTCCTTCTGACGCCTGACTTGATCGATTTGTTAGTTCGGTTTAATTGACGGGCCATGTTGACTTCAGTACTACCTTTTTACCAGCACTTCTTTCTCGTTGTCTTCCTAAATAGGCTTTCAGATTTCTCTCTTGTTTTTGGATGAGTCGAGGTGACCAATCAGGTCTACGCACAGTTACAACGTGTATTGCTTCATTTCCTTATCGACAGATGTTCACAATGGTCATTCATCGATCTAATTTCCAAAAGGTCTTGTTATGTTCCCTCACATTACTGGCACTCGACTGACTAACTAAACTGACTGAAGTTAGTTCACAGGTGTTGCTTAAATGAAGCTCAACACCTGGATGTAGAACCTGTTCTCTTACTCGTCTAAGTGAGATACTATATTCTCGTTAGACTGGTTGACATACAATCCCTAGCGAGTCGTAATAAAATTCCATTCATCTTTCGCCTAACGTAAAATCGAAGAGGTTTCGCTCATGCCCACAATGAGGCAATGTTTCCGCAATTTAGTGTATCGGTATTTGAACTCCACAATCGATATGCAAGGAGACGTCGCAAATCCTCTGTTAATTAATGCTGTTGAACTTGCCAGGGTTTCACGGTCGCTTGTACTTCATTTCCAGGCCACACGTTTGCCTTTGGGCTTGTCTCGTTTGAGCCGCCTGGCAATCGCCGCTGTTCCACACTTACCCTTTGTACCGATCGCCCAGGCTCACTCACAGCGCCCCCATGCTAGCAACCATACTCGCATTATATCCAAAGCGACTGGACGCAAGGAAGATTTATGGCAGCTGTACAATGAGGTTGTCTACCCTCCTAAAGTTCCTGTGGGAAACAAGGATGTGGCCAGTTTTGTTCTGCAGGAGCGTAGACCTGGGGAAGTAACACATCGACGTGAGGATCTCCTATACAGCCAAAAGAAACTGTGGCTTTTGGGTTTTATGGTAGGTTTTTTCGTTTTTTTTGTTGAGATAACATCGGGCGGTAGATGACAGGGAATAATGTCAATACGCTCTAATCTAGATTTCGTTGCAAATTCATCACTTTCCCCATTTACATGTGGTGTGAAAGGTCATGTATATGTCTGTTCTTTGTGCAAACAATTTGTATTGACTAACTTGCTTTGTGTCAGGTTAGCGAACTCGTTATTAAAATGCGACCTTGTATCCACGCATTTAAAGTGTGCTTCTTTCGATGGAATATTTTTCTCTGACGGCTGACGAATTCAAAACCCAGGGGTGATACATTTCGATTCATTAAATAACCTCATGAAATAGACGATACCAGTATAATGGTTTTGTCGTTCACCTCCCATTAACTGGTGACCTCAGTGGCTGACGCCACCAGGACTTTGCTCCTGTGCCGAGACATCAATAAGTTTGATCAGTAATTTGTTGCGACACATGTATGGTGGCATTGTGATACGGCCCATGAGGGATTATCGTTCAAGTATGCCAGCGTTCTCCGTGGACATTTCCTGCTGGTACGGACCGAGAATACCCAACATCGCCTTGAGCACGTTTTAGTTGTTTCATATTTGCGACCTCTTACTTGTACTTTTATCAGGTGGTTGTCGAACCTAATAATCGTTAGGAGCACATGTTCGACGCACTTGCCGTATCGACTAACCTGTTGATGAGTTACATTTCACCTGTCTAAAACGTTCCTACGTGTAATTGATGGGTGAAAGCAGGAATATTTACTTTAATGATGATGGAGTACGCGGTACGTCACATGAAGTAATACCTTGTTCACGGGATAGGCGTGAACAATGCAGCAAAGGTTCACACTGTGATATATATATATATATATATATATATATATATATATATATGGCTACCTCAAACAATAAAATGGTTGATTCGCAACTGCTGATACAGAGGAATTTATGTGAAAGCCACACTGACCACATGTAAACTCATTGATTAACAGTGGCAAACAAAATTACCTAAACAGTTACTACATCTGGCCGTCACCAACTGTTGAGGAATAATGAAATGTCAATAAAATGGAGAAGAATACAAAGCAGGTTTATATGAACAGAGTCTTCAGCTAAAAGTTTTACAATAACTAGACGTGCCCAGCAAGGTTCAGGCCATTGGTGCTTGCGAGATGAACTATTTCAGCTTCAGTCGTCAGCCGAATTCTTGCTGAAGCAGCACCCTCTGATCAGCATACTCGCGACGCTATCTCACGGTTGGCCTACCAGTGGACCCAACTAATCACCTAGGGGTGGCACGCGTAATGACGTATCGCCAGTGTGTATTGTCTAGTAATCGCCACCTACACTTATCCACTGCCTCTGTTACCCCACATTTTGTCTTGTCTGCTGTTTGCATCTAGTCTTGCTTTTCGTAGTGGAAGTGTACGTCCACAGTAGAGGCCAGGAGGTGTATCTGACACCACTAACACCTTGCCTTCCTACGTTTTATTTCTATTTTCTGATAACCATCGCTGTCAGTTTTTCTAAGTGAGAAGATGGTCCTGCGTACACCGTCCCCGAGACACTAATACAGGACACTTTACTTGTGTACAGTGAGATTGATACCGATATAACAGTATCCTGTTCACATCCAAACCGGCAGCAGTCTGTTGAGAGCGACAGCAGGATTTTCAAGGTCATCGGATGTCCGAGAAACTGGACGCCGGTTCGCAGTTAGTTCCACTTCGTCACTCGAATAATACTTGCGATCAACAAATTAGGGTTCCGTTCACCTACCTTCTGATGTGTTTCCATTGCTACCTTGGCGGCTAGCTATGGGGGGGGGGGATACCAGTGAATACATCGGTGCAGCAGTCATTTTTTTATACGAGCTTGATTTAATGGTTCCGTCCACATCCCTAGCTCACTTTCCGCTTTCATGAAGTTTTATTCTCTGTCAGGGCATGGGTTTGAGGTGCACATTTTCTCAGAGAACCACACAGACGCCATCGTAAACGAGTTAGTCCTCGTACGCGTACGCCCGGTGACTGCAGACCACTAGAAACCATACCATTTCCGTTCACCACAGTTTCATTCAGGTCTTTGAAAAAGGATGCTGTTAATTGCTAACTACTACCGTGTTAGGTTTGACAACCTTATTTCGAGATTCTGTCGCAGTGACCTAGGCCATTCGACCTTCGGAAAGAAGGTAGTTTCTGGAGGTCTGGTTAGTAACCCGGTACTTCCTCGTAAGGACTTTTAGTACACTCACTGAAGGACGGTAGCGTAAGCATCATCAAAAACGCATCTTTATTCGTAAATTTGGTTACTTTGATATGGACCGTCTGTCTTAATGGAAAGCGAAAATTCAACTGTATCTTCTAACGAACGATCCCTTCGGGACGTGTCTTGTCTGCAGTATAGCTGCTTCAGTGTTCCGTACTTATCCATTAGAACTGTGGAGCTCGGTTGACTTCCTGTCCTGCACTGTTTGGTTTGGGCCGAGTTGTATGCCTATTTAGTGTGTGCAGTGGAAGCAGGGGTACCCTTTGTTTCTGATACTTGCACGAACAGGAACACAACTTGACTTGATGTGTTGAAGTTCGTGAGCCTGGTGTGTGACGCATGTGGCAGCCGCGTAAACAAAATTGGATGGGAAGTTGTGTACGTGTCGGCTAAGGTTCCAAGTGAGACAGGCATTGTAAAGTGGTTTGAGTGTTTGTAACGTGTTTGTGAGTGACCGCTACAAGCGTACCAATAGATTCATCACGGCACTGTGCGGCCTCCCGTCGGGAAGAAGCCGATTTATGCAAAGCCATTTAGTTCAACATTTATAAACCGTCTCTGTAACTCAACAAGGTCGCAATGGTTGGCTGAAAAGCTTCCAGAACTCGACCGATAAAATGGTTATAATGGTGATTTAGGTGACTTTGAAAAAGTGGGAAAAGACCATGTTCGTGAATTTTGAAACCGTCTGTCCGATGTCCTTCGTACATCCCTTCTCACGGTCAACAGCTTTGACTGAAGCCAGGAAAACCATGCCAACAACAAACCACTGATGGCGCATGCCGAATACTGAGGAAAAAAAATATAAATATAAAATCGTTCAGCTGTAGCACCCTTTCGGTGCCTAACTGCCATGCCACCCGAAGGAAGCATGAGGGCTGGGATACTGCCAGGTTGCCCAAGCCTAGACAGGGGAAATCGAGTGGCGGAAGTAGGGTTCGAACCACGGACCTTCCGGTCAGTAAATTCGCGCTCTAACCACTTGGGCCATCTGAGGAGCTTAAGCATTGACAGAGAGCGCTCATAGATCGCCAAATCCAGAGAAGTGTAGAAGGTTATTGCAGCGGGAAGCAATCACCCTGCTCCAGATAACTCGGCCAACTGGTCCCAGAAGTGTGGTGAGGTGTATTGGTGAAGCGATCTCCGAAAGTGGTGGGATCCCAATCTATTCATGGGGACATTGTCGTGAACGATGATTCGAACATTATGAAGAATAGTCCAGCTGGCCCCCAATGATACAACCTTTAGAAGGATCAAATGAACTTGAGTGGCACGTTGATCGTCAGCAATTGCGCCAGTGCCTGGCGACGAAAGGTGTATCTTACAAAGACTCTATGGGAGTCTTCCCATGGGCGCATGCGTCAACAGAAAATTTTCTCTTGAGTTGACAAGGGAGGGTTGTCGTCTGCCGTGTTTTCTCTTTCACTACGTTATCTTATTCACTTGCCTCTAACACCTTCGGTTACGAAATAATCCCGGGTCCTCCGCTTAGGACATTGGTTAAACCGACAATATTTCCGTTCTTAGGCCGGACGAGTGGCTCTCATTCCATTATTCTGCTTATTATCTCTGAAGGAGGCTGTAGCAGTTGGGACCACTGCACTTCAGTTTGTGACCTGGACAAAAACTACCCAGCATATTTTTAGAACCACCTCTGGAAATAATGTGCTCAACGGAAACATTTATGTACATTTCCAATTATTATTCCATCCGTTCACTAGTCAATAATATTTGGATGTCCATCATTGTCAGTGACGCGTAGTTTCTTACTTAATTACCACCGAAGGTACTTACAGCAGCGGTGAACAAGACAATACGGCATAAATATTCTCCTTGGTCATACAGTCAGATTGAATCGAATTGCCTAGTTTGTCTGTTTGCACATGATTTGACGACACACATCTTGTGCATCTGTATTCTTTCCTTGAGCTTGTGTCGTATTTGCTGCTTCTTCAGTTATCGATCACCTCCTGTACGTATGATCACGTGTCCCAGCAACTCACAGCAACACAGCTATATGGAATAGTGTGGATTGCACGCAGATGGATATCTGAACAATGAGTAGCATCATGCGTGTGTGTATCCATACATATGAATGCGGATAGTTTAGTAATCAAGAAACAGAATGCAGTTGACCTGGGTGCTAATATCAGGTCAACACACGTTGGTTAGCAAATGACTAATAAAAATATAGCTGTCTTGGTCTTTTGCCATCTAAAAAACCTAGCTTTCAAGATAGGCTTGGCTTTATGTGTGTTGTTGCGAACCGGTTTTTGTTGTTGTGGATTTCGGTCTAGGTTTTCTTACTGAGCGCTGCAGGTGTTTGGGACAGACTACCACTGGTCCTCTCTCTCTCTATCCTAACTTCTTATAACTATAGCGATTTGGTTTAATATATTGTTGGGGTTCTACGGCACAGAGGTAACACTGTTTCGCCTTACTGTGACTATCAATGGCGATGATGACTAGTCGAGTGTAACTTGTCTACGACGAAGACTTGAATGTGTGCCGGACAAATATAAAGTTCTCCTTGTGAATCTTCTCCGCGAGTTCGGCTTAATGCCGGAGCTTCCTAGAGTAGGATGGTAACAATGCTAGCTCACTAAACAGAAAAGGGTTCACCATTCAACCGACGGTGAATATAGCTTTTTTCCTTGATATTCCACCAACTGAGCCATCTCAATGGAAATATTCTGTGCACCCAAACATTTTACAAGCAACGGAATTCGAGTTTCGGTTATCGACGAGCAGGCCAGAGGTTAATTTAGTAGATTGGCTGATTGGCAGATCAAGGTGGTCACTCAGTACAAACACAATTTTGTCGGTGTGCGGTGGAATGACCGTCACTTTTTAGACTAATCCGTAGATGTTTCTTAGATGTTTATCACCAAATTATTAGCTTTTTATTTTCGAAATTTACCTGAATCTCTCGTCACTATAGTTGTCGCGAACCGAGTAAAACCTTAATTGGAAGCCTTACAGTTCACGAATAAAAATCGAATATTTGAGCTGTGCTGAGCCATATGGAACATGAGGATTAAACAGGTATCACATCGTCCGTGCTTGAACGAGAAAAATCCCGACTTCAGAGGCTCATATCAAATCACCAGGTCAAGATTTTATCGTCATTTCCGCTTCTTGTCAAAGTCAGTCATGGATCAGACGGATGAGCATATGCACAAACAAAAACAATCACTAGCAGCCTTTCTACGTTCTTTCGACCATGTTAGGCTTTCTTCACTTATTCGTCAGCTTGTCATCCATTTTACAGATTCGAGGCAGGTCGGTTGACGATGCTTTTGCTCAGTTAGCTCACCGACCAGAAAAAGGAGCTAGGATTTTGGAGGAGGTGAGTCTAATGTCCCATCCTATGCCTTCTTCACAGTTCCCCTAATGCCGCATGTCCATTCTTACAATTCATGTTTCCGACGTTTACTCTAATCCGACCTTTGCTTTAATCGTTTTCGTGTTCTAATATTCGACTCACAATCCGGAGTTTTTTCCAGCACTTGTAGCCCATCAAATAGCAAGATGCGCCCTGACTCACTGTGTTAACACAATCAAGGTAACAGCTCCGTTGTTCGGTTTCCTTAACACTTATTACAGTTGCACCAAAGTCTTCCGCTTCCTGACACACACTGCACTGTCCGTTGGAAGTAACGAGCGGTTGCTTCCTACCATCCACCTGACCTCGCCTAACGTTTTACAACTGTTTTGTAACTCTGTTTGGCTTCCAGCTGCTGTTCTGGTAGAAATAGGGAGCACTAATTCAAGCGATTCTTACCGTAAATCATCTTAAATCCAGATTATTAGGGCGAAAGGCCACCGACCAGAAGCTCCATGTTTGGAACCCAACCTGTGCTTTTCGATTGCTATGTCCGGACAACTTTGCAGGATCTCCACTATCATGGTTTCTTCAATTTGCACGTTGAAACGGTACTTCAGCTGAATGAATATATTACTAAAATCGAGCGCCATCCTTTCTCTTACAAACGTAGATGCTATTGGTCAGTAAGATCACTTCACGTAACTACTGTAGTGTTCGACTCAGTACTGTGTCAAGAATTACTGTGATCCAACATCCAAGTCCACTTATCAAAATGTGGGATGGAGCTCTGTGAGTGGTTAATAAGAAGGATCCCCGATCTATCGTGCGCATTCGGGAGATTTTTGAGTACACATTTGAGCAGTGTGCTTGAAGCTGATTGACGGAGACACACTGCCTTAGATGCTCAGTACGTGCGATGCAGCCATCTATGACCAGTATTCTAGGCTTAAGTTTCGTAACTTGAGTTTTATCAGCACCGTAGTCAGGATGAACACCCACTCTTCATTTATACGGATTTCGTGGTGGGACTGCGATTCTCGTGTATTTTCACGCATACTAAATACTTCAAAAACGCTTACCTTTCATCGTCAAAACCCATCCCCACAGAATAAATAGTTGGAATGTAGCAGTTGAACATTCCATATTGGTCGGTTATCAATATTATATTATTATACATAATATTATATTATCAATAAACAGAAGGCAGAATTTTGTTTTCTGCACATCAGAGTGTCTATTCACATGGTTGGAAACTGATAAGATCGTTACAGAACTCATGCTAAGTCCTGTCTAGTATGGGTGTTAATTATATCGATGTCTTGGATGCGCAAAGAAGGATTTAGTCAACTGACTGCTGCGACTTCGGTGAACTTTAGAACATGTGATCTTCAGATCACATCACCCAATTCATTGGTAGTTTCGGTTTTTGTAACCAAGCTCGATTGGGCTCGATTGTGAGAAGGACGTACCACTCTAGTGTTTCAATAAGACTTCTGTGGGAGTTGAGGAGTTTTTAAATTTTGGTCAATTGTTGCGTTGCTCTACCCACTGTTTTGGCTTCACAGTCGTAATTATGTGATGTTTCCTAGAAGTCGACCATGTGGCCAACCAAATCATACCATATCCTAATAGTCATGGTATTCAGGGAGTCTAACGGTAGGGTTGAAGAAATCAATTATTCTGACGAATAGGTCGATGTCATCGATAAACGCCATCGGTATCGTAATGCTTACCCATTGATGGATACCCAAACCGAGCTTTTCTTCGGAAATGCGCATTTTCGGTGCTCCCCAACGAGGATGAAGTCTATTTGATAGTTTTCGGTTTATTTCACTTGTTGGTAGTCTGAGGAAATTTTGGAATCCGCAATGAAGATTTCATCAAGTATGTGAAGCTACAAAGTCTAGGGGAACTGTACAGCTGTTTCATCAGGTCATTTTGAATCATCATCGGTGTGCGAACTCCCAGCTAGCAGTTTGGCTACTCAATCGTTCGGCTACGAATTGACTTCTGAGAACTGATATAAATATCTGGCACTTGTTGGGTCACCGTAGCCGTTCTTCGCATATGGACTTTCGTAAACAGTTTTTGTACTGCGTCCCACTCTAGACTCACTTTCGCGACTCTGCCATCCTTCACCAAGTGTTTAATCCCTCACACGGAGCACATGATTCATTGCGCGCGGATGCGACATAACACCATTTGGTTGCAACAGCAGTCGCTTTGTCAGATTATATCCGGCACTGCCATTGTACCTCTAGCCAAGGGCTGTAATTGTCTGCTCAATTTCCCCAATACTCGAACCATCTGAACCACACACCTTCGATTGTCTGCTGGATCATATGCTCTAACACCAACCAATCCATTGATTTTCGATGATAGTATAAATGAGCGAGGTCACGTTACAACGCGGTCATCTGTTTTCGGCGGAGAATAACACGTGCACCTAGCGCTATCTGAGTAGTACTGTGGTTTTATATACGATTGGTCGTGTTGTAAATCGATACCAATGAGCGATACAATAACAGTCCGACAAAAGGCCTCATAAGCCTTCTTATCTATTCTATTGGCTTTAAGATTACGATTCCGGAAACGTTTCCTGGCACAGCGCTAGAAAAAACAAGCTATTTAAGATGAAGCCTCAGTTTAAGGGCGGATAGACTGAATGACGAACGACTGACTCAGCCTGTAAACCAATCCCCTCCAGGGTAGATGTAATAAGCTCCATGTGTTATGCTGCAATTTTTTTAAGTCCATGAATTCAACTCATTGAAAAAAATCAATATGCTTACAAAATTGATGGAAATATTTCATGATTTTCGCCTAAATAAGCAACGAAAAATACCGGTCATTTGATAAAATGCATGGTATATTCGACTTGCAGCATAAGTGATGCTTGTCAGTATAGTTCTTGTGCGATTCTGTGCTAAGACCGTGATTTCAAAGCAAGGAATTGGTTACTTAGCCTAAACGCACAATCTAGGTGTCCTATGTGACAGGCAATGTGTAGTCTAATTCACCAACGGACGGTCAGTAATAATTGCGGCGAAACCGAATTCTACGAACTTCACCTGCGTTTGTTCAGTAGTCGCAATTGGGCAGTGAACAATATATTGAATTGGACTTGGGCAGATAGTATAGATAGGTAGACCGTGGTTCTATAGGAAGTTAACAGTAAATCGTGAGGAGAATTAAAGAATGGCTTACGGCTAGATTGAACCTTGGGAATTTAGCAACACAGGATGGCACACGAAGGGCAGTGTGCCATCGGACAAATTAAACGGGAAAATTGTTGTTCAGTTCAAAGTGAGACAAATTTTCAACAACAACGGAAATAAATGTAAACTAGCCATCTATAGAAAACCGGTTGAGGTAGAGTCAACTTTGTGTAAAATAGGACGGTTCAGTCTTGAAAATTGAGCAGTCACGGAAGGGTGATGAATTGGTCTGAGGAATAGGGAAACAAATAATTACGTCACGTAATTAACAGTTCAGTTCAAAGATCTTACGTGTTACGTTCATTATGGTAACTATCGTCAAGTTCATTACGACGGTTTCCAAAAGCTTGGCTGTGTTAAAGCGTCATCCACGCTTACCTTCCCGTTGTCGAACGTCGAATTGACGTTATTAGGAGCGCAGAATGTATCAATAATAAGGCGAACCAATGTTGAAAACGATTTCGGACAATATCGGTGAAAGCCAAGACATCAGTCACACGACTGCTCTCAATCCATCGGTGGAATATGTCACCCAGTGAGTGTGAGCAGTACTAGCCACATCCCCACCTTTCCATATTTTCCCAATCTATTTCTGCTTTACACAGACACCACAGGTCTGTTCGTTCCATAGCTATTTTAAGTCCTATGCGCTTCACTAATAGGATAAGCTGAGCTTGAAATCGCTGCCGACATGTAACCCGTTTATTTAAACTGATCGGTGTGTTCAAATGTTCTTCGCCCCTCAGGTTCTAGAAGAAGCAATTGAACTTGCAGTAAAGGAGCACGACTTTGAGTATTGCACCAAAATCTGGGTCGGTAAGTTTCACCTTAATGGTTCGAATACTGTGTTGAATCCACTGTAATCTGAGTTTTGCGATGGTTGGGAACCCTCTACCCTTGTGGGTTTGTTCACCACCTGAGCTACGAGCATTCCCTCAGTACCCTACACTCTCATTCATGTTACGAATTGATTGCATGTGGTATTTTCATGCTGAAACTGTCAGCTGCTCTCATTGATCATTCTAGGACTACCTTGACCTTTAACATAGCTTCACTGAGCGGTTTTCTATAGGTGAAGAAGCTTGACTTCCTGATTCCACTGTTGGCTGTTTTAGCTCTGCATATCGGATATCTCAATGAAACGTTTTCAGGGACTATTGGAATCCAGTGCCACTGGAGTCATCGCTATGCTCATCATGAGCAACAATTCACTGTTAGTGGAGCTCGAGGTCATTCAGTGGTCAAGACGCAACCCTACTGACCGGAAGGTCCGAATCCAACCTATGAACCTCGACTGCTCCTGTCTAGGTTTGGGCAACCCGGCAATTTCTCAGTCCTCTTGCTTCCTTCGTGTGGCATGGTAGCTAGGCACCAAAAACGTGTTACAGCTGAACGGTTACTCATTATTATTATTATTACTTAGTGGCGGAAGCGGATGCCTAACTGCCATACAGATATAGAGAACGCTCCCAATAGAGAGCATGGAGAGTGTGGACTTATTACAAAAAGTTCTGTATCCCTAGGGTGGACGGCCAGGACTAAGGTGTCTGCATCGTCCTGAAATAAACGCGCCGCAGGTGTCTCCGACGCATCACGCAACCCTGGTCGAAACGTCCGATCAATAATGCTGAAGTACGCCAGTTAATTTTCAGGAGTCTACTCTCTCTGGTCACACTACAGGTTACGCTGGTTGGGATGTGTGCCACATGTGCCAGAGGACCAATTGCCTCGTAGAACCCTCTTCACCTAGCCTTATATAGGGTGGAGACGACCCAGGAGTGGTCAGTCCCTCGGTTAGGGACCGTGGAACGAGACAAACCACTGGTTAATGACCCCGATAGATACGGTTGTCAGAAAACCAATGGCAAGCTTGTATCAGAGATATCGCCTTCACTGCGTAGCTCTCAATGCCTGCCACACCGGGTAAACAGAACCGGTTGCCGTTGATGAACTCCTTGGGCCATCGCCTCCGACGCGTGGCTCTCATTCCCCCATTTTCCTTATCCTTGGTGAACGAAGCTGTAGTAGCCGCCGCATTTTGACGCGCGGTTTGTGAGCTCAAAGACTTCCTTACCTGGAAGGCAGACATTCCTATAGCTGAGTTCCACGGAATACTGACCATAGATAGGATAAAGTGGGCATCAAGAGGTAATGCTGAAGAATGGTGTTAGCATCTGTCTTCTTTTACACGACCAGCAGTGTGCACCAGGGAGGGCGAAGTGGTCAGTGGCATCATACGACAGCCAGTACTACGTGATACTGCTGGTACGTATGCAGCTCATAGTTGTATATGGGATAAATCTGCTGAAAGATGCCTTAATCTAGACAAGAGGATCATTGGGGTCCTCGGTTGCAACCTTTCGTCCAAAATCCTGGCCGCAGGGCTGTAGTTGTTGGTGTAAGATCACCAATTTCTAGACGGGTTGTCCAAATCTCACTACGGAAGTGCCGGACGCTGACCTCTAGCCGCTGGCGAACCCGGTATTTGCGTTCTCGTCTAAACAGTTCTCATGTTCTGGCGCAATTACTCTGTCGGGTCCACGCCAAGCACCATGCTCGCGTTTCGCTCTCATTGAACCTCATCGGTAGTGTATATCTTTGGCCGTGCGAGGCTTTGAACTCCGGAAATCTGGCATGCGAGTTACCACTACTTCAGCGTCTCATGCTGAACTCACCATAATTGTCACATCTGAAGAGGCGAACGTGTTCGCACTTGAACGATGACACTGGTTGACCCAACACCTCGAATGACGGCGCACTAACTGTCCTGGATGTGTCAGTCGATTGACCTGCCTGTCAGGATTTCTCAGTCAGATGGCACCACGGACAATTGATACCTGCTAAACAATTATGACTAATCGCGGGATTTGTAGAGTTGAAGACAGTTGGGTCACGGAGGCGCACAGATCGTCACATCACGCCCCAACATCTTAGAGACAGACCTCATAAAATTGCCTTGTTTTGCACTCGAATTTACACCCATCGAAAGAATGGGAAAATAATTTTGTGGCGACTAACGGATGCCCGGTAACACCACATACTTCAAAGTGATATCAGCGAACGTCCCCAGTACGCCCGTCAGGTGCACCGACAGGAAGCTTTTGTTGATACACTTCTATCGTATCCACCTTTCAGACTTATATGGTAAGATTTGACCCAGAATTAGTAATTTGTACAGAAACTGAGACAAAAGAAAACATCGGAGTCCTTAGGCATGTTTCCACTTGGAAAACCTAAAATAAATTCACGGATACAATAATTTTCGTACGTCGTTTCGATATCATTAGACACGCCTTGGAGCCTTTGATGTGTGTCTAACTTTTCTTCATCATAAGTTCTTGAAACTCTTTTCCATACCCGATCTTAGTGGCATGTAACTTCAACATTACTGGATCCTGATGGATCCACTATTTTGGTGTATTCTACATTTGGACACTAGCCGCCACGCAGTTTATGGTTATGTATATTCCTTGTTCATTTCTCTTGTAAGACTGCAAAGGCTGGCTAAACCACTTCGCTTACTTTCCTAACCTTGCAGAGACTGTTCATGTTTGCCGAGGGCGCGGTGTCCCACGTCTCTACAAAGGTGTGCGTGGACATCTTTCAGCAAACAATTACCACTACGCCAATTTATACATCCGGCTCCGCGAAGGTGATCCGCCCCCGGTTTACCATCCTCGTCAAATCAAGGGTTCGTGGACTCCGACCCACAATTGTCCTAGCTTCGGACGTCCTTCTTGGGGTTCCGGTAACGATATGCTACAATTGGAACTGGAACGGATGAGGCAACGGCGACTAAAAGGCGGCATGTAGAACTCCTAATAAATGTGTAAATAGATACACTTTGCAGTTTTATTCCTTTCGGAGCCATACCCCACTGTGCTTCATATAATAGTAAAAATTGGACTTGCAAAAAACGACAAGACGTATCATCAAGTATTCATTTCATATACATGCATGTATAAATAAATACATCATCAATCTGGTTCGAGAAGCTCTGGATGAGCCTGCCAAAAGGCATCTTTGATGATATCAATGTTGGCTTGCTCTACCGCGCCTTTTGCGTCCTAGAAAAAAGAAGGAAATGTGTCGATTACATGCTGGAACCCTGTGCGTGTGATCGCACACTAAATGCCGTCGGGTTGAAACGCATGTAGTTAGGCACTATTGAGCCCCCGATCTGAATTTTTAGCTTTTGCGTCAACATTCCCATAAAGTTCACCAAGGGAGACGCGGAGGATAATCTGTCTTACATTGGTGGCTATGACAGAGGATGCATTTCCACCAACTGAACACCGGCATTCTATCGCTTATTCCGTGTCTGTGATACTTCGGTCATTAAGTTTGCCACACTGATGAAAGATGTTAAGTCCTCTGCACAAGCGTACCTTGAAATAGGTATCTTACGACACGATTCTTCTACAAAGGTCGTTTTTCGAAGTAGCACGTTGGCTCGGGTCGAATCGTAACTAAGGTCTTTATAAGACGTAATACACTACTCATAAACGAGAGAATCAGCTGGGTTCCAGGTGAGTCTCCCGTCAAAACTAAACTGAGTGCACTTGTTGAAGGATGAGTACAAAAGTTACAATCTACGCTAAACACTGAGTGTGTAATTCTAGTAACAAATGGCTATGATTACTGCTATCATTAGTGGCCGAAACCGAAAGAATATGATAGTAAGGACTCAGCTACATGTGGTGCTGAACGACTTCAGGACAATGTGCTTTAAATCCAAAATCCCGAAAATTGTGATTTTTTACGAAATCAGCCTGTTTATTAGCGCAAAACAACAAAAAGCAATTAAAAATGTGAGTCCACCGAGGAAATCTTCGAAGAATGCCACTACATTTTGTGTATCTCTTAGGCTCCAGAACCGGACTATACATGGCCCAAACCTAATGCAGCGTGCGCTTCAATAAGATATACATCGATGTTTCTATGAGATTCGTCGCCACCCACGCACCACCATCTGACATGTGTTGACTGTCCTAAGTTCGTTGTCCCTGACCCAGGAAACGTCAACAATAGAAGCGGGATGTAAACCGTTCATGACTTAATGGACATGCAGTCCGGTCAGTTGCATGCACGCGAGTGTAGATTAGACATTCGTACGCACATTTTCACCGATGTCTGGTCAGGTACTTTATTTGATCAGGTGAATGACAACCACCCGAGGCTCTCACTACAGGCTTCCAACTTCGATTTCGGGCCCCTGGACTACGCTATAGCGGATCCGTTGTGTGCGTCGACCGACTGTTTCGGTTCGGGCTGCACTGTGCAATCTTTAACTGTGCGCTCTTTTGTAAGAAGATACCTAATGGAGATGATGCGCAACTAAGTATAGTCATCCGCACTAGTGAGGTTGAAAACCACATCCACTGATCTTCCAAGGAGCGATACGAGATGAGCTCCGATAAACCCAAAGCAACGCGTGTTATTCAGACTGATGCAACCATTTGATTTCCACCAACAAACGTGATCGTTTAATGGCTATTCTGTGCTGTTTCGTCATTTTTAACCAGCATTTGCTTCACTGGACAAACCGTGGCTACAGGATCTACGTCGTCCCTATCAAATGTGAACTCATTTGGAATTTCGAATTGTACTTGAGATGGCCGGCGTTGCATGTTGTTTAATAAGCCTGTATTCCATATGTCGCTCCCTCTCACTGCATCTGTAAATGGCAAATCGATTTTTACAAGGATTGGCGATTTACGGCCAGTTCTACAAAAAGCTTCATCACAATACTTTCATGGTTGCAGTTAAAGAATCGTGTCTGAGCAGCGACTGTGATACCAGTCTAATATCGATTCCTTCTCGAGACTTACTTCGGCTCGATCGTGCACTGAAGAACAAAAAATGCACTGGATATGTCCGTAGTTTGCTCATTCGGACTGACCATCTCCAGTCACCTTTCAATGACCGTGTGATGGTAGTGATGCAAGATTCCTATCAGATATCGTCAAAATCATGTTAACCAATTTGTACTGACTGAATTATCGGACGAACTTTTGTGTGCTTGGCACCCAATGCCACTGGTTATCTTTTTTACAACAAGGGGTGACATCAACAGGGTTAGTTTCAAGTACCCTCTTCGTTCCGGTCTCTGTAGTCTGGTTCAGGAACCAACCAACAGGGCACGTTCTTACCAAATCTCCTTATTCGTGACGCTACATGTTTCGAAAGTACTTATCTGTATTTTCTTGTCCGACTCGGGGGTGATATGGCCCAAGTGGTTAGAGCGCGAATTTACTGACCGGAAGGTCCGTGGTCCGAACCCGACCTCTGCCTCACGACTTGCCCTGTCTAGGCTTGGGCAACCCAGCCCTCGTGTTTCCTTCGGGTGGCGTGGCAGCTAGGCACCGGAACGGTGCTACAGTTGAGTGTTTTTGTCCGATTCGGTTAGCCTGGACTCACCGAAGGATGTATGCATCTGTATTGACATTACCTGTGGGAGAAATTGTGGCACGAATGTTCATTATCTGGATTTGTACCCAGAGTTTTTATTTGCTTTCACTTGCATCCGCCCTAGCCACATTGATCTTTCAAATGACAACATTCTATATTTCAAGAGTATTTGGCATGCTTGCCAAAGTATTGCCGATCTGCCCTTTTTTCCTGCTCCAATGGCACACTCCGTCATTGAGAAATTGAGTGAGCGGATATCACTAATTCATCTTTTCGAAGGACTATTTAAGCCTAGTCCCAAAGCGGCCGAAACTGGCTTCCGTCTTCTTCTGAACCCTCCCAAGGTATGCTTCGGCATACCTTGTACGCTTCACTACTTCTGTAAACGAACTTATGTCGATACGTTTTCCCCAGCTTCCCCTAGATGTTTGTCACGGTGGACAGACACTTATGCACCAGATGGTGCTGCTCAATTTGTTTAATAAGATCCGAGGCGAGTTTAGCCCAGAACTCCTAAGTCGTCTTTATCTGATCCGCTTTGCCCCCTGCTGTCAGCGCAACCTGCAGCCTAATTTCTGTAGATGCGTAACTATGAAGTGTTTATATCGCCTTTCTAATGAAGGGCTTTACAGAGTCCTTTCAATTATCGCATGTACTTATTGACTAGAACTGCTTCAACTATTTACGACTGTTTTTCTGCATATCATTTTGGGCCACCCACATTAAAATAATCTGGAAGCTGAGAAGACGGCGGCATCAAGCTAGTTTTCACCTCATCTCCGTCCTTTAAGTGGTGGGGTCTTGGCTGCGCCCCGAGGAGCTGATCAAGTCCCAGTAGCTGTTGCTTAATTGAATACTAAGTCTTACATTCGTCCGCAATGAACCTCTTACACTCGATATTATGGTGGTTGTTGACTCCCAACCCAGTGCAATTCTCTCCCGACATATGGCCCCCTAGACGACATCTGAATTTAAAAGTGTGAACATAGTGTTGATGCTCACTTGTGTTTGCGATAAAAAATGGGATTAAACGGAGCGTAGCTCAGCCACAGAATGAAGGTGGCTCGCAAGGAGCAGCGTTCGAGCAAAATAGGGTCCCGTCGAGTCGATAGCTAGTGTGACAGTAGTTCGCTCCGGTTTCCCTATTGGTAAGTCGCTCATAAGCCCACGCAAATAATGGCCGGTGTCCACTGATGCTTTGGCACAACCCTTGTTTTAGAACAAGCAAGAAAGCCAACGCAAACCACAAATAATGGTTTGGGAAACAAGCAACAACTCAACTTACTTTATTCCGGTAAAGTGTGGTTCCCTTGCGGAATAGTTCCGGTTCGTTGTTATAGTTACATCCAAACTCAGAGAACAGTATTTCATTTTTATCACTTGAAAGTGTGCCCTTGTAAGTTGAACAAGAGATATAGATTACAGTTTAGTGTCTGGAATTAAGGGTGAAGACAAATGAATCTGTTAATCTTTTCATGGCTGCCGTCCCATTTGTTCACACACCGGGCATGCTTTGTACCGATACTACGTACCACCCAGGTCCCAATACAGTGAGTTCTCAATAATGCTGTTTGCAGTGAACTGTTACTTTGAATACATGTATAAAATAAATTTACTGACTGTGGCGATAGGGCTTTTCGGTAAATGACTGGAATCCCTCCAAAGCAATGGGACGTGTTATAAGCCGTCGCTCCAGAGCGGTAGGGCCACGAGTGTTTTTTTTGATTTCAAATGTACGTTCAATTTTTCTATTTTTAAACGGGGGCTTTTCAGGTAAGGACAAATATATGTTGCCTCCATCCTCCAAAGACAGTTCGCATCGCGCGATCTGGTAGAATGAACCTCGGATGACGACATCTCAAAAGACTTATGAGATTTATCCTTTCTGACCAGAGTACTTAAACACACAATACGTAAGCTGCTCAGAAAGTCGAAAAAATCTCATAGGTCGCTTGGGGATTTGTTAGCTAACAGCATATCGTTTGACATTAACCATTTGATAATCCAAGTATGATTAAATCACATTGAGAACCGGCCCCTTGTGACCGAACGCTATTGTGCTTAGTCCTAAAGTGGTGGAAAGAGAGAGAGGAATTACAGATACCTGTCGTGAAATAGCCTACCAGCCTTAGTGAGAATGACTGACAGAAAGGTGTCCACGCATCTGAACAGCCCCATTTGAATATCGTTACAGAGTAAAGCGGAAATGATCCATCAGCCTTTGTTGACCTAGAGCACAGCGTAGATAATTTACCTTGGAAGTCCGCTAACACAGAGACAGCATGCTGGCAACTGAGGCCAGTTATATGCTGTCATACAGCGCTTCCAACTCTATACAGATAGAAGCGCGTAATATTAGACAGAAAGACGCGAAGACCCCAAAAACACTTAGTTTGATTACATTTACTTTAATTCCATCTTGCTTGATCATGACCCGTTCTCGGTAACAATTTCGTGCGCAAGGGTTTGGAATCGAAAACAACGCCTTTTTCTGTAGATGGTTGTTGAACATACATAGTTTACGTTCCAACCACCTTAACTTGATCATCGTTTACCGCTGTGGTGATTCGAATCCGTTACTCGCTTACCTTTTGATTGAGGGAACGATACAGTCAACTGAAGATGACCTTGCTTCGAGGCACAGGTAATCAAATGAGTAATGTTTCTAGTCAAGACATACTTCAGGTGTATCTGTTTTCCATCAATGCACTGCAGAATTTTACTTAGGATAGTTCTCTTGTGTTGTAAAATGCCGGTGGTGTAAACCGTCAACCGCCATTACCTAAGTTGGGGGCCATTCTCGGGCGCAAGCTATCTTTATGGTGGTTTTTCAATGATCCTGTGAAATATCGCCAGCTTTTGTCCCTAGTCGGCATCTGTCCTCAATCTGCGAGAGTTGTTAGCAGTTATTTAGATTTCAATATACAAATGCACTTATCTAACATTGGCTGCGTGGAATATGACGGTCATGATACTGAGCTGAAAGGAAACAAGAGATAAAAACAAAGATAAGGCGAAATTAAGTAGGAGGTCGGATTAAGACGTGAACTTACTGACCAGAGGTTACGTGGTTAGAACCCAACCTCTTTATCTCGACTGCTCATGTCTAGGCTTGGGCAACCTGACAGCACCTCAGCCCTCGCGCTTCCTTCGGGAATCGTAGCAGCTATGGACCGAAAGAGCGCAGCACCTGAACGATCTATGTATTTTTTAAGAGTGAGTAAAGGAAGCGCATTCTGTGTAAACCCTGAGAGAAGTATGGTGCTCGTGGAACCAGAATAAGGGTAAGGAACTTTTGTTCTTACTTTCCTACACATGGAAGGAAAGACGCGTACATATATCCAGGTCTCGATGCCATAGGAAGATCTAGAAATCAGTGTAAAATGATCATAATAATAATAATCCTTTATGAACCTGGCTGCCAAGCCCCCAACCCCTCCCCTCTCCCCCCGAAGGAAACGCGAGGACTGAGGCACTACAAGGTGACCCAAGCCATGATAGGAGCAGTTGATATGGCGGACTTTGGTTCGAAACACGGACCTTCTGGTCAGTAGGTTCACATTTTAACCAATGAGACATCCAGCGCTCAGTGGCCGAATAATTCATATAACTGTTAAGTATTCAATACACCCATGATCAAAACTGTGAGAACTCCAGTCGAAAATGGTCTCCGGTCAGCAAGTGACACATCCTATTTGAAACCAAATAGAATTTAAGAGGATGCTGCCCGAGAGAACTGATGCTGAAACACAAAAAAAGGAAAATGGAAGACAATTATATTGTACCGTCCCATCGAGAGACGACTCTTTATGGTTATTGCGTTTTTGTATCATTCTTCATTCACTTTCCAGAGAGGCAGAAAGTCAAAGTTTTGGGGGTTTGAACATTTGATTTTTTTTACACTTAGCTAGATGTCCTTGGTCGAGTCAGCAGCGGGACTGTAGGTTGGCTCGTCCAGTAAATTCAACGAACGCGGGACAGACTACATGGACTAATGCGAGTGAATTGCTGCGTTGACTTTTTCTGTTATCCCATCCTACGTTCGGATCCCATGTATGAATGTGCGCATCACTCTCAATCAAGTAATCACTATTGCTACTTCGTTCAAGATGGAATCCAAGCTAGTTCAGTTTCCAACATCGGGTCTAAAAGAGCAATGTTTTACTGTCATCATGACCACCACACGCATTCAGGAAATGCCCAATGTGGCAACAATCACAAGCTATCGGAAAGTGTAGAGGCGTATTGGATATTGATCCGGTTACTCCTGTTCTTATCACAGACAGTGACAATCAGCCTGTAGTCGGCTAGAAGTTAGCGTCCCAAGTAACGAAGCTTTTCCAGAGCTACGCGTACACTCTCGCGAGCCCAAGTGTATGAGTATACAGAGAGTTTATTATGTTCACTAGCTGCCGAGGCAGCTTATAAGTGTGCCGTCGTTGCAGTAACTCATGGAGCGTGATAATTTAGTCCACCAGGCCAGAATCCCGCCCGCTTCTCCCGACTCAATGCTTCAAGGACCAGTATGAGACAAGTGAGGACAAGTGATGCCAAAAGTCAAGCCGCTCTCCCCACCCCCTATTATTATTAACTTGAGTGACTCTTTTTCGAAGACGCGCACTATCTCTGTCTGGACGGGCACCTTTTCCAAGTTAGTTGCAAATAGATCAAACGAACGCTAACTGAGTATTTAACCCCCCATTCTTGAACAACGAGTGTGGGAGGACATCCGGAACAGGAGCTCGGGGTCAATTCGAAGAACGTATGCATTTATAAACGTCCGCAGCCGTAGGAGGTCCCCGGTTCAGCGTCCGAAGTTCTAATGCCGTTCCAGGATCCAACACAGAGGGAGCAGGCGGTCACGAGAATTGTTGTTCAAAGTACACAGCCAAGAAGTCGAGTTTTCTTTCTTGATCATGCCATTTTTTCCTTCATGTTTCTGCTCACCAGCGGTTTTCGGGAACCCGTTGCACAGATCGAGAGAAAAATCTTCGGGCATTCTCGGATTTCTGGGCCGCCTCCATTTTCTTAGCCTTTCGTGTTCACCATGCTTCAGGTTTGGCCCGAACGCTAAGCCTCCCTGACACCATATAACTCGGGTTGAACCATGTTCGGGATCAGCGAGAACAGTCTTCCGGGATTCACGCGGTCCCACTGTTCTGTTTGGCATTCACTGCTTGTTCGCGCAACGCCACATGCGAAACTCCCCGCATTGCGCAGGTATGTGGCTATCTTGTTCCACTACGAATTGAGATGGAGCATTCGGAACAGAGTCTGTAAGACAGTTAGTTCTGATGGATTCTGATGGAATCTGTCATAGCCTCAGCCACTTAGTGATTCATCTGACCCGTACGGTCCCAGAAAGCGAAAGGAGAAGTGACTCTGGATGAGTGTACGGTCAGAATCTATACAAGTTTTCAAAAACGACCGGCGGTTAGTTACTGATCCACATTCCTCGACAGGCGTTGCCAGACGAACCGCACAGAGGCGACTAGCAACAGGTATCCAGTCAAGAAAGGAGCGTTTCGCCTGGTGACTTTGAAAGATGCACATCCTGTCGCAGCGCCTCTGGGTCACCGGAAAGAAGAGATTGGAGTTATGAGGGTCATCGACTAGAGCCCTCGGTTCAAAAGCCTGTTTATCGAGAAATGACAGTGAATTTCTTTAAAAATACTAGTTACCACATATGTTCCAAACCCTAGTCTGGATTACCAGGATATTGTGTTGGTCAGACCGCTAATCGTTGATAAAGTTGGTATGACACTCTGTGGTTCACGGACGGTCACCCCAGGGTAAGATCCAGTCTCTCCGTGATGGTATAGTTGATCACTGGTTTATCGATTGATTGTACTAAATGAGCTGGGATCTGGTGAAAGAGGTAGATCAGCTAAGGAGTGCTGCGGCGCTGAGGAAAAAATAAGTAACCTGTTGTAACACTAAGACTTATGCCTGCAAAATCAGAGGGCTTTGACTCACATACGCAGTACTTTTGACTACATACGTTTTAAGTGGAACGCGCTTAGTGAGGAAGATACGGGAAAACATGCTAGGTTTGGAAGATACTCTTTACTACAATTAAGCCTCGGCTAAGGAGTTTTGAGCTCGAACGGATGTGAAACCGTCGTTTCCGGTACACTGTGCATTCGTTTTAGATTTTGTGTTTTAAGTACGCTCTGACATCAATAGGCAACTGCAAGTCATTGTTGAGATGATGTTGCAACGATGCCAGCAGTATGGAGCTAACAAACACAGTCGGTCGTAGACCAAACCGATCAAAGTTGTTGAGCCTAAATGTACGTATAGACATGGGTCGAAAGCTCACACAAATGCAAGTGCCGTGAACACGAGTTGTGAACTTGCGGCTGAGGAAATCTAGCATGAATATACGGATCCGTAAAGCACGTCGCAGGGAGACGGGAGTTCATTCCAGTTTGTCATATCTCGCACCCCATAGCGTAGGTACAAATTGGGATTTGCAGAGGTCGGTAAAGTGTTTTTTGCCCAAAGAGGAGCTGTTAGTGGTAAATTTCCATTGTAGGGTGTTTATCCGGCAGAACGGGTTTACTTTAGTGCGCATTATGGCCTTGACATGGACTGAAGAAGTTGTTCGGAGGTGAGCCGTTCTAAATAACTGAACATCACACCAACTGAACGCATGTGTCACGAGGCGGTTCAGAAGCGAACCAAAGCAGGCCCTGATTGGCCACAGTATCCGCCGACCAGCATGAAGAATTTACCGCTCGGCGCTTCTCGACCCCTCATGAAGATTCCAGCGAGGTCTTGTGGAAAATTTCGTGAAAACTATAAATATAGTCGCAATAGTTTCCCTTCGTCTCCATAAAAGGTGTCTCAAGGTACCGTACCTTTTGATGCACCGTAGTGAGCGAAAGAGGAAGCCAAGGGCCGAGATAGGAGTTGTAATATAGTGCAGGACACAACAGAAACCAAGCAGCCGACTATCGATGATACAGCTTAGAGTTGTTCAGTCGCCGGACTTGACTAGAACCAGGGCACAAAACAGTGTAAATCCCCAGAATGTCTGACAGTGTTTCTACAAAAATGAAGCAGTAAAGCAGTTCACTCATCTGTTCTACATGACCTAATTTAGGAAGATAAAATAGTGAGTATGGTTTGCAGTCTCAGAAGACGAAAATTAAATAATGAAATCGCACGTAAGGCCCTATCCACCATATGTATTGCAAAGGTTATGAGAAACAGTTTATCCTTCCATCAATCAGTCGACTGCCTGCTGCCAAAGAGAAGTCCATGCATAAATTTCTGAGTGAGCACTCACATCCCCTTTTGAATTCCAATTGAAGCCACCTGGTTGATGATGTCACTAATGCGATTATCCCGTCTAGACCTAATGTGGTTGGTTGACAGACGTTAGACTTGAAGTGAACCATGAAAATGGAGTGAACCTAGAGAAACTCCCAAGCAGCGTACCATATGTAATATATATAATATAATGCGATATATATAATCATATAATATATATAATGCGATTAAAATATCTGCTACAAGCCCTCTGCCGCAAGATCATCCATTTGAAATGTTCGAAAAGAACAGTGGTCAGAAGGAATATACGGCGGTGAATATACATATGAGATCTTGTCCAAAAGAGATCTGTGAGCTTGTGAAAACAAAAATGATCGTTCAAAGACAAGCGGTACAAAAGCTTGGTTGCTTTGCCTCACATGTTCACATTAATATCGGTACTCTAGGTGTCCTGAATGTATCTGAATTTTGCACTTCTGTGAAAAAAACTATCGGGTTAGTAAGTAGTGCACAGTCGGTTGTGAACAAATCTGGCCTCAAGCCAAATCAACCCCGCCTGAGCCTACTGATCACACACTGGCATACGGAACTGAAGTAAATTGACCAGCAGCATTGCGTGGTGAGAGACTGGACAAATTATCCAATTCTCCTTCGTATCAGCGAACGCTTCACTGTCGTTAGCAAACGTGGTCAAGTAATCATGCCACCTTTTAGTCAACGAAAGTGGCATCCGTCATGTCACTTCAACAACCGGGCCAAGGTTACTGATGTTTGCAAACCCTTTCGTTTCAAATAGGGATAACGGCAGATCGAAATACCCTTGAAGGTAGTAGGTGGCACAAGGATCCATTCACGCACGCTAACGAAGCCAGTAAACAGGTGCTCACTCAATGTTCGGTTGACGTTGGACACTGCGAATGGAAGCATTCAAAATAACCTTTCCTAACTAAATACTCACAGTTGTATGTGTTGTTGGCAAGTTAGTATAAAAATGAGCCGAAAAACTTTACGACCTCAATTCTGGTATGTTCACACTCAGCTGAATCACGCACACGAAAAATCGGAATATCAGCCAGTGGACCATCATCACTATCGTTGAGGAACGGATTATTTCAGAAACATCAAAACGCCCGGAAAGAAAAGTTATTTTGTTTGACCCTTTGCTTACGATCGTGGATCATCTTAGTGCATACCTGCTCAATATGTTCTGGTGACCCAGCGCGTTAAACACAAAGTCATGCGCTAACACTCGCCAGGATCACTCAACCACGGCCAAATTGGCCGAATTTTCCTAGCGGTATCGGTAGATCTATGGTTAAAAGCTTCTGCCCTGACTTTGTAATCTCAGCAGATGTTGGTACATCTGACTGGTAATTTTTGAAATGCCTCATCCGAGCATGTTTGAGATAGTCATCAAAGGTCATCAGCAAACAGTTCAGTTTGCGGCTATGCCACTAACGTGGGTTGATAGCCGATTTCCATTTCACACGGTGATCTCTGTCCAACAACGTTCAAGAGGATGGTCAGGTTAAATTCAGATTGGCAAACAACAGCACAGGGATTAAAAAACCTCAGACGGTTATGACAGATCAACTATCCTAATAGTTACCCACAAGGTTCGAACTGACCAAATCCAAAAAGCACTTTCAACGGTGCTGCCTGCTGACATCCGAATTTTCCCAGTTGTCTTATCTGCCAAAAGCTCGACAATTTCCGTCACCTCCGTAAGCTAACCGATAACCCAACGGAAGCTGATAGTGAAATTCATACCATTTGACCTTAGCTCGTCGTGGAATATTGCTGACATTCGCGCATGCAAACGTCATCCTAAGTTAACACATCAGGACGAGCGTCATATACTTCTTGAGTCAATACGCTAGACGAGGATTTATGCGCGCAGGCAAAGCTAGCAGACAGATTTTCAAATCCCATAAAATTTGAATGAAGCCCACGACCGCGAGAATTATCTCCAAACACTGAGGGCAGAGCAAGACTTTAGCCATTAGCTTCATCGCACGGAATTTATTATCCGGCATTAATTTAGTCGGAGTGGACCAGCTAGAAAACGGGCCATGTAAGGGAGTAAAGAACTGCGGTAGGCAGATGTTTGGTGGGTAAAATATCCCATTTCGAGCGAGTGAATTTGGTAGAATTGGCTTTAGTGATTACCTAGTGAAGAGGATGAAAAAGGTCCCAACCAATTCGTTGAATGAAGATAGAGCACTTACATGTCTGCTTATTACGGAGCTAACCAGGATATTTTTTTAGGTTTGACCGCATGTCGAAAGATAAGGCGTTAGTGTTTCTCAAGGAGGCCCGGTAAACGGTCATGAGGACAATAGACCCAGTCGACGAGAAACTAAGCAGTAAAAAACCTGTGAATAAGATTGAAGGAAACAGAAAGTGCCCTCAGTTTCACATTGTTAGAAGCTAGAAGCCGAACTGTACTGAACGCATTTTGTAGATAAGGAGAGAGGTCAAACCCAGATATCTCACAGTAGAATTTCTGCGAGACAGGCGTACCGAAAACAGTGATAGATTGACGCCTACTGAGTAGGTTAGAACTGACAATGGGGCGTTTCGGAATGTTGTGGGCTGGCTAATTACTTCACCCAAAATAGTATGTAGCTTCACATTTGCTCCAGGTATGCTGCAGATGCAGCCGATCACTATACAACCAACGTGCTTGCATTAAGTGAGCAAATCAGGAATACGCACGTCCTTTACTTATGAAGAGGAAAAAGGATAAAAATTAGCACACCGAAGACACTGCTGTTAGTTGACATCGGAGGGAAGCCGTGACCCACGAGTTTGGATTGTGTGCGGTTCTTGAAGTAGTCCTCAATTTGTTTGTTTTATGTCGCAGTGTCTGTACAAACTCATCACTTGCACAAGGCAGATCGTTTCGAACCGGCTAAACGCTTGAAAATTTCGGATGAGCTGTCATCGATTCAGCTCTCTGGTAATTTGCTAGCACTGGATGGAACAAACGGTCTAACAATCGTTGAGGTCGAACTTCAAGGTCGTTCTCCTGATTACTGTACTGGACAGAATCCATAGGAGTAATCAGTTATAAAGTCTCCGATCCGCACCATTTTGCTATTAATTATCTTGGAAGACGGGGAAAGTATGTATCAAGCTTATTCTCGGTACGTACGTTGTGAGGCCGTCTTACACATCTATCTACTATTTATCCTACTGTATATTTGTGGCACTTGTTCCGTTGTTTGAGAGACCATTGTGGAGAGGAAGTTGAGCCTAAATCGATCCTTTTTAACAAAGTGAGCGTAGAGGATCACAAACAATCTTGATCACTTCCTGAAGACTAGGAGGTGGCAGAAACCGTTTCAGCAGCCTGTGGAATAGCATCATCACCGTTGGCTAGAATGTGGGTGGAATTATGATTATAGCTGGTATATCATTCCCATAGTATCTTGACAGACGTCGTTCATGAGGAATATGGTCTCTTCCACAAATTGCATCCTGAATGACGAAAACGAACACTTACGTCTCCCATTTATGTTCCCTGTCGTAAAGTAGGGCCAGCCGTCATTCAAGCGTCATTTTTATTCCTGCCGACGTAAATATATGCCTCGGGTTTTTGGGTAGAACGGGTTTTACTACGAAGAGCTTAAGTGAGCTGAAGGCCAAAATCTCCGTTGATTGTAACTTTTCAAGTTTTCCTGGGAAAACTACTAAAACGTTTGTAATGACTGACGCCCTCCAAAATAAATGAGATTGTCGTGTTCTTACAATGGTTAATTCTTCAACATTACGACAGCAGAATACCACTTATGCCACAAAAGTTGTACACCAATCACGGAAACTCATTGACATTCCACTGCAGTAGTTGCACTGTTCACCCAGTTATTTAAATTTAGTACATACCCACTTTTGTGTTAGTAGGATTAAATGATTCACGCTTGAATTTTTTTAAGCATACTAACCCTTCGCAACATATGGAAAGGAAGCCAAGGTGCGTGGTCAGTCGGGAATCACGTTCACAGATGCCAAAAGCCACAGCGCTTACCCGCAATCGTTCTTCTGCTTCAGTAGTTGTCAAAGAGCCTTCTTGAACGAGTTTCCAGAAACAAGTATTGTACAAATTATTGATATGACCTGTGTACCGGAAAACGGATAAGCGAGTGTGAATAAATACAAAAGTGGGCAAAGATTATATCAACACTCAAGGTCTTGGTGGAACACACTACTCATGATGTTGCTGACAATTCTTCGAGGATTTTTCAGTAAGAAAGAAATAAAGAATCCAAAAAAAGATGTACTGCGATATCTCGAATTTAGTACTGACTGGAACACAAGGCCGCCTTCAAATAACATATTCCGCTAAAGTATAAGTGATAAATCCAGTCTACCGTTAAAACTATTTTACACCTGAGGTTCACATAATCATCAACCGACAGGGCGGAGCAGAGTGTCGCCCCCTAAGTGAAGACTCCTCGTAGAAATGAGGAAGTCCTCTCATGCATCAACATTTCTGATACAGGCAGTTATGTTCACGGTATTTCACTAGCGTAATGTCGCGGGACAAAAGTTACTTAAGTTATGCAGTTGGTGTTGAGTTTTTATGTGACAGGATAGAAAAAAATGGAGATAAACGCTTATTGTTGATCGTTTTAGAAAGTGATATTGCGTCAAAGGAGACACTACAACTTTATGACTAACAAGAACTGTGATCTCTCACTGTCTTCAGGTCTAATTTAGCACAAACGGTTCACCCTGAGGAACTACCTGTCCGATAACGTTCGCAGCGGAAGTGGACTGAAAATTCCATTTTTTACTCTTCCTTTGTGACTAATCAAAGGGGCGGAACAGGTTCTGGTCAGTTCGTATTGTTCTAGTAAACAGCATATCCAGTGCCACGTGAACAAGAATGGGTGACATGCACCCTACCAAATGAGTTCCTCGGTTAGATATACACATGAGTAACAGTAGAGAAGAGGACGGTACCTATGCCGTAATCTTTATGTAAATTTTAGTGCACTGTGCCCATCATTAGACTGTGAGATTAGCTCTTCGTTGTGTTAGAATCACACCAAATAAGCCCTCGTAAATGAGCAAACATTGAGAGCATCCAGGCGCTCATCATGTGAGTTCTCGGTCACGTGTTCGGTGGGAAAGGTCTAAAGTACGGTCTTGAATACACATACCGTTTTATGCACAAGCGTGGATCTATATTGGATTCATGAACATACCTTCGTCACTAATGATGACGAATAACGAACGGAAATCTTCCATGAAGTTTCGATGGAGTTCCGAAACCGTGCAAAGCTCACAGTAAGTTTCAGTTTCAGCGCTAAGGGGCACAGTAAAGTTGTTTCTGCGAGGTAGCTGGCAGATGACGAATGTATCTAAATATTGTGACTGTTCACTTTCCGCCTACAGACTTTTATTCCCAGTGCAGACCCCAAACTGCTCTATGGGAGAATGTTTGAACGTATATACAGCTGTTCGCCAATAGAATATTTTTTAGAGAGAATGCAACCATCCTCTGCGCAAGATTACGAAAAGTAATCGCAAATAGCTTACTGAAGGGCCATCCCGGGTTTACAAATCTATGGTCACTCCCTGTGTGTGTTCATTGTCCAAGGGTTTGGCTATATACCGTCAGCAAGCTCATGCAAAGTGGTAATGCCCAGACAAGCCTATCGACAAACACAGTAAAACACTTACTCGGCAATCGGTCTTTTACAGTGACCGCTTGTGGCCAACCCCAACAAGTCTCTGCTGCATGCTTTTACCATTGTGAGAAGCATATTTGTATCCGTACCACTTCTCGGATGAACTTCGATTAGCATAACAAAACAAAGAACATGCACCTCTGCTTACGCTCGGTTTTTATTAAAGAAAGAGCATTGTATTTTCGACAGCAGTCTGTGGGGAGAGAACGTGACGTAAATGGACTTGTAGAGGTCACTCATCAGATCACGCGTCACAAACCAAAACCACGTGACAATTCCTGTCCCACTTGCAACCTTAGCCGACAACCTGTACACTACAAATTCGCATCCATTTTTGTTAAGGCGGCTTGCGCGCCAGGCTTATGAACTTCAACCCATCAGGCACGTTGTGTTAGCCGACAACCTGTACACTACAAATTCGCATCCATTTTTGTTAAGGCGGCTTGCGCGCCAGGCTTATGAACTTCAACACATCAGGTCACGTTGTGTTCCTGTTCATTCAAGCATCAAAAACGAAGGGACACCCCTCTCTTTACACTGCACACAATGAATAGGCATACAACTAGGCTCAACACACAAACTCGCGCACACAGGACAGGAAGTCAACAGAGCTCTGCAAATCTCCACGGACAACTACGGAACACGTGTAATAGCTATACTGCAGGGAAGACATCCCGTGTCCGGAACTTCACTCTGGAACTCTCAACAAGTGTGCTCAAACGATAGGTCACTTTTTGGCTTATTCCACTTTTCGCATTGTATCTATTTATATCAAGTGCACCTAACTATCGTATTCATCACATTCTAGTAAGACAGACATTTGTTAGTGCTTGGTACCTTCTGATAATCAACTTAATTACGTCACAACTACAGCGCTAACAGACTTCAAGATCATAAATGAAATTACCGCAATCTGATTGCGAACATACACCAGTATTGAGACCGAGCAGTCCAAACCATTCCTTGTGATTTTCATTTTGAAGAGAATTTACTTCACACGACCTTGCCCATGAACCGAATTCGATCACTTGAAGAAAAGTGAATACCCGGTGACGCTAGAATGTTTAGTTCGTTTCGTCACAATAAATCAGACAAAATCCAAATAAACGAAACCGTAAAGCCGAATTTGCCCAACAGTTTAAACAATGTGGTGAGAACAAGATTGTTTTGAGGTGAATTCGTTTTGAATACCTTCATTCGCCGCAATAAGCACAAGATAAAATAAGAGGAGGCAAGTTCCAGATGAAGTTATGTTGCTCAAATCGGTAAAAACTAACGCAACGGATGAAATGAAGGGGTCTTAGAACAACCCTCAGTTCTTCCTTGGCAAACGATTAATGAATGCTTCGTCAGTCTACCCACCATGGAACCACGGGACGTTTCCAGTCGAACGCATTGTTTATGCGACATGCGGAAAAGCGATTCATTGCGAAAGATGTTACAAGGATAGATACTACGTATTTGGTAGGCGATAACCTAGCCCACAAAGCAGTCTGGCGACGCATTCAACCGAATAAAATAACTCAACCAAAGAGAGACTAACACGAGAAACGGTGTATTTGTCCTATACTGGAAAGCCTATCCTCAAATTGGTCGCGCAGTAGATCAATGCGTGGATATTCCGAAAAGGATTCTTTTTGGTGAAGTACCTCAGTTGGACTAACCGAACACCATCTTTTACTTGCCCCCCTAGTGATCTTTACGGCCATAACCCAGTGAACAAACGCTCACTTGTTTCCACTATAAACGTCTAATTATCAGAATCCGAGACTCATACAAATGGGATGGTCAAATGGCCTTTAATTAGGAAATTATTTCAAAATCTACCAAATCACGACAGATATCAATGACCAATCTCGAATGAAATCAGCTGATCAAACAAAGAAACGCAGAGTAGTTGGTGGACTACAATGTAGTGCTCACTCAAAGGGCGACCTTGTCTCGAACGGCTAGCCGCAAAAACTCAGTTAACTGTCAATTAATTATGTGTTCCTCCAAAATAGAAACTGAGCCCCCAAGGGAGCCAAACTCCGTGTTTCGTGACTATCTGTCTTCCGGTAGGAAGGACAAACACCGGATAGATGAAAAGAGGGCTCGAACCAGCTCAGACAACACACATCCTGAACACCCACACCTCACCCATTGCCACAGCCAAATTCGACGAGATCGACTGTCACTGTCTTATCGGCTGTAGAGGCATCAGCGTTCTAACTTAGTTTCATAAAAGCTTTCCGAAGCGTAACTGCTATCACAGCCTCCAAACCGAACTAACCAGAAGATTATACAGACACCGGTAAAGCTGAGTAGCACTCGCTCAAGTCCCTGAGTGTACTACCTTGAACGGAGCAGTTGGCGTATTCAGCGTTACACATGTCCCTTCTGATGTCAGACTTCTTGGAAAGACGGTGGCTGAATTTCAACTTTCTTGGTAAAGCAGACTATTCAGATTGGACAAGAGGACGGAACCAGTGGTTCAACCGCATCCGCTGATTCATTTACCATGATTCATCGACCGAGATCACATTGGTTTGCTGCCAGTAACCTGCTAGAACATATGGACGAATCACATGTTGATCATTAAGAGTTACTAATTTCTTTGGCAAATGATCCGAACTCTGGTACGCAGAATCTGCATAAGACTATCAGATAGAACACATAAGACTGAACTTGAAGTCACGCCCGATTCCATGTTGCATGCAGTGAGTTGGACCCGTTAGACCCAAAGGATATTCTATAGAGACTTCACCCTGTCAGTGAAGCCAATTTTTGCTGAAAAGCCGAGAAGCAAGGTACAGCTGTTCCATCCTTATTAGCGATCATCAGTTGTGCGCACTTCACGAAACTCAGGGCTTCGAACCCGCGACCTTCCGGTCAGCGTTTGAGCACTCAGTTGTTTGAACATGAGTGGCTGGTCAGCGGTGTAATTAGCTCACAGTTGGACAGAAAAAAGGTTCACTCATCCTTCAATACAGGAACCAAATCATGTGGTCACGTATGGTTCCTTGAGTAACAAATTTTCAGAGGGAATTTTCACACATTCAGTGAAATTATTCCTCTTTTGAGGTGCTTATTCATTCATAGTGTTCAACTATTGGTTCGAAACTCTCTCAATTTCATGAGATTCTCACTGATGATGACTACCAACAAGGATAAAACAGTTGTACGGTGCTCCTCAGCTTTTCACTATAGACTGGCTTCGTTGATAGGATGGAATCTCTGTTGAATATTATTAGATCTCCTCACATCACCATAGAAAATGGAATAGTTGATTAAATACCCGAAGGTCAAGCATACCTACTTGCCCGTAATGATAGCTAAATTTGACGTAGAATGTTCCTTATAGTGCTCCACCCTACGGTAACCACCCTTCTACAGTGAGCATTTTAACCAGTTCAGTTAGGTCCTCGTTAGCGTCTTCCATAAGTAAGATTCTATATTTCAAGTCGTTACAGCTAAGGTAAATTTTTTCACAGATCACAGATCACAGTTTCTCTACCGAAATTAAAAAGTGGACGTAAATGTTACAGTAGTACGCTGTACTTCAAATATAAGTACCGAATTACAACACTCTCTATAGAATCTAACACACTGGAGCGACCACTGTTAAAAACGCTGGTAAGGAATATTGTAGTGGTCACGTTAAGCAGTATCAGGGTTCAGTCCGAATCCATTGCCTTTGGAATAACAGAAGTTAACATGTGTAATATACTACCAAACATTACAAAATAGCCAAGCCAGTAGTTTGTCCCCAGCATCCGAATGAGAAAACAGGTGCAGCATGCACGCATAAAACAGCGCAACTTACAGTCTGCTTGCCTCCAACTCAAATAGTCTCGAAGTGTCCTGTTAGTGGGATAGAGTACGACACGTGAGTCAAACGCCGGTGGGTAAAGCAGCTTCACGTCGGGAAAGAAGTTTGTCCACTCGAATACATACGAGGAAGCGAATAGGGAAACCACTGTGCTGGAGAGCTTGCTAATTGAGGGGGAAAACATAAAAGGACTGATGGTTAAAATTTAAATGAGCAGAAAATGATGCCGTTATGGGGAGAGATCTGGGTTAAACTAAAAAGTACGACTATATGGAGGACGCGCAGAACCGAAATGCAATAGAATTTTTCAGATTGGAATTGCAGCCGTGACGGTCTATTTTCTCGTCAAGGAGTAAAAGATGAGCTGCCTAGTGTGCCCGTAGTTTCCATAGCAACTTGTCATTTGAAAGCAAAGTTCCAGTTAATGAACGGTGACCAACGCTTAGCTAACTTTCTAAACTGCTTTCATAAATAGGTCAATTCTTGTCCATACATTACCAACGTTAGCAAGCGAGGTGCATTCCGATAGCCCGAGTGCAACCCGAGCCCGAGCATCTCTCAAAGACGGAGTATAGCAGCGGTTGCTTGATGGGATTCGTCAGCTGCGATGCAGTAGTCCCACGGAATCTGAGGAATGATGCATGAGGGAATTCGTTCACACATCAAAAGTACCTCGGTAGCGTCCCACGGGACGCTCCGCTATTGTTTGTTCGTTACGGGCCTGCGGTGGTCGACCACACACCACATACTGTTTCCCCTCAACTATCGATCTGACTGTATCCATCCACTATCCGTCCACCGTACTTCTGTAATTCTGAAAGAAACAACTTCCACTTGCGCAGTTTGAAACGCATGCCATATGTTTGTGAAAGATCGCTGTAGACCCCGATCTCGGCAGACATACAACACACGCATCGAAACTGGGTGCAAAAACGATATATGACACCATCTTCCCACTGTTCAGAAATGAAATTTTTCCCTTGCTAAATATCGTCTCGCTTCCGAACCCCCGTAAAACGCTTTCAACAATTTAATTTTTACGCATGTCCTGATGCACCGCCATTGCCACGTCGGTGCAGTAATCGGCTTTGCTGCCCTTGTGCATTTAGTAGGCTAACACGCCCTATCGCCTCCCACCTGAATCGATTTCAGAACTGCAAGACGGCCAGACAAAACCAGCGGGATTATGTGATTTGCAGCCGGAAAGATTAGAACTAGGTCCTAATGGTCACTGAGAAAAACGGCTAGTTATGCTCAAGTAATAATAACCAACTAATTGTCAACCGATGTGACCTCAGAATCAAAACATGGGAATTCACTGTCTTCTTAATAAGCATACTTTCACTGAAATAGCGGTCAGAGTTGTGCAGTTTCTCAACTGAGAGACATTTGGGGTATGAGGAAAATTCTCAAAGCTACGATGCTTTGTAAAAAAAACAACGACAACGACGTAGCGCTGTTCCTATAACCACTAAACAAATGGATCAAAACAAGGCAGCTTGTGGCTATGACATACATCACCTTACACCTCAAAAACCGTGAAATGAGTCCATATGATCCAGGAATGCAGATCAAAATGAAATGAGACTGGAAAATTGCCATGCAATTATAGAAATAAGTTGAACACGAAAACACGAGAATAAACATGGTAATCCTATGCAGTTAGTCCGGGACAAACTTTTTGGTCTGACTCAACCGAATATTGCCATACAGAACGGGCAAGTCCTTATGTGAGATATAAGTTTTTCAAAATAGATTATCTTCCTAGTTGGACAAAATTCACATGACGAACATCCAAAATCTTCAAGCTAATCTGGTGAATTATTCAAAGCTGATATAGTGCTACAGCCGATACCGCAATGGTTACGTGGCAAAGAGGGACTGGCTCCCAGACTACTCTCCCTGAAAATATGCCTCAAGATTGCCTTTATTAAGTTTTGACTTACTGCGGCCAATTCCGATTGCAACACATTTTAGTGACCGACGAATCGTATTATGTGAGAAGAATCAGATGTCACAGGATACAATGCGTTACAAACGTCGAAAAGACCTACAGAAACTGTTAGGATCACAACGCAACATGGTGGAATTAGATGATATAATACGACTTCTTTATGTTACTGCGGATAACCTTTTTCACGGATATTAGACACTACATGACACTCAACCTTTTCAACAATATCCGAGTAGAGTTCGGCCCGGAATTCGTAAATCCAAAAAACCCATTAATCGGGAATGGGTTGCGACAGCCCTAGTTGGGACTAGCGGATACTAAATTTTTTTGTGAAATGTTTATCTATTAAGCGTTATATGTACCTAACAGAAAACAATGCAAAAGATTCCATGACAGTAAGACTGTTATTATAAGAGTTAGCATTTGGGCGGCTTTTATGGCGCCAACGGGTTCTGAAATGGCCTCATTCTCGTGATCAACTAAACTCAACGCCCTTTTAAATGTCTTCTCGATCTATACCCTTACTTTCTAATGCAAGAAAAACAGGGTGTCCTGTTTTCGATGGCCCATTATAAGCCCTATACAATCAAATCAGTCAATGGATTTAGGTCTAAGCCAAAGTCAATGAAATCGGTGGCAAACTTCATCAGAAAAAGAAGATACCACCGTACGGTCAAAGGATATTGAAACACAAGCATCCAGTTCCTCAACTCCGAAAAGAGCTCAGATTTGCTACTTCAGTCAATTCAATTTCAGTTTATCAATGTACCAAAGGCACATTTGTTCCAACTACTACTGATTCGATCATCGGAAAGATGGAGTGTGGGAGATGCGGCCAAGGGTTACCTCATAGATCCCTACTCACTGACATGTAAATCACCAGAATATTGCTGTTGAAACGTGCCCAAACATGAAGAGGGGTTATACCGAGAAAACACATGATTTGTCGTCGCACGCTATACACAGAGAGGAGCAATGCTGTACCGCAGTTTTGGCACCGAGTTTTTGAAAAAGTGATCCAAAAACGGTCTGCAAAACCAGGTATTGTGCACCCGGGACAATGCACTGATGAAAATTGTGCAGTCGGTGATTCATTTTTATGTAAGTGTTTTGTTTACAACATAGGGCTTGGAAGATCGGTGTGTGAGAACCTTGAATAGGCCCTAACTGTTGCCTCACCAGGTTCAGCAAGAATGTGCAGCGACAGTCACATTTTGCAACACAAATTGCAACTCTGTTGTTTTTGAACCCTGAAACGGTGAAATATTTATTTGACAGTGTATTTTGTTTGCTCGAGTTTTGACTGCTCGAGTTTCTGCAGTATTGGCGTCCATGGACAGCAGCTCGAAGTTGAAATGTTTTGACCAAGCTGTGGTGTTCAGTGAGCGAACCACTTTTCGCATCATCATCATCATCAAGGACAGCAACATCAGTGTTGCCACTGATGCTTCACTGCCGTACAACCATAAGGTTTGTCTAGTTATATATATATATAATTGCATTAAAATCCCTACAGAGAAGAGAAAAAGAGTGGGTGAGAGAGGGGACCTAGTGCTGGCCTATGTCAAGCATACTGAGGTGCCTACACCTCCAACCGCTCAATCAGACAATCTGGAAAGAAAGTGACAGCGCGAACGCCACTGA